CAGAGGATGTGGCGGAGAGCAAACTGCCATGTGGGCAACTGGGGCTTGCTCTTGCTGGGGACCTCTGGGAGGCTTCAGAACACAGAGCAGAGCCACCCATCTGAGGGGTGGGCGAGGGGACCTTGCCTTGCAGCCTCCATCCAACGTGACTGAGGACTGTTCCTAGAGCACCGACTCCTGGCACACTGGCCTGCCATGCATGGACCTAGCAGCTAGAGAAAACTCAGGCAAGGAGTCACAGATGCTGGTAATAGAAGCTGCCAGGAGCGTCAAGTATCGGGAGATATGGGTGGACCACCAACAGTGTCTGACAGAAACTCTTATCAGGGCACCACAATGGACCTCACATCATGGCCGTTTTTACCAATTACACTACTGAGACATTTGTATCAAATCAGAAAAACATCAAATTTTGAATGTAGTATGTGTCCTCAGCAAAATAAGATACAATGAAATAAAATAAGTATTTGAACAGCATAGAAATGTGCACAATCAAATATAAAAGTCACTCTCATCTCTGTGTTCCTCTATCACACTCCACAGAGGGATCCACTCTCTCAACTGTTTCTGTTTTAAACAATTGGTTAAAATCATCCCTCTAAATAACACACATACTTAAGGCAGGAGGTCCATTATCTAAGAACAATTGGCATTGGAAAAAAGCCTCTTAAAGCAAATCCATTTAAAACTGAGATCAAAATTTCTTATTTTCAGAGATCAAAATTTCACAGTAAATGGTGATTAGGAGATTATCTTGAAAACTGAAACTAAAATTATAAAAATAAATGTATTTTTATTCAATAAAACTTAAATTATAATAGCAATTATGCATTAATTCTTAGAAAGAGTAAAGAATAAATCAAGCATTTAAAGGCGGAAGACTCATTTTCAGACAAAATTGTGCAGTAGCAGGAGACAAGAAGGAGGAAAGAGAGGAAAGGGGACTGACACCTCTCACATGCCGAGTGCCATGCCTACATATGTTACGCCCTGTCATCCTCACATAACACAATTAAGTATTTATTAGTGTTCCCATTTTACAAATAATAAACTGAAGCTCAAAAGAGGTCAGGCAAATTCTCCAGGTCATTTAGCTTGTAAGTAGTAAAACCAAGATTTGAACCCAGGCAACTTGAGTAAGCAAGGCCATTTCTGGGGACAGAAGTGGGGAAGAAGGTGTTATGGCTGAATTGCATTCTCTTCCCAAATTTCATATATGAAGCCCTCACATACACATCTACACACCCATACTGCAGAATGTGACTGTATTTGGAGACAAGGCCTTTAAAGAGGTAATTTACGGAATATGAGGTCATATGGGTGGGCCCAAATACAATCTCACTGGTGTCCTTATAAGAGGAAGTTTGAACAAAGAGACATCAAATTGCACAGGCACAGAGAAAGGTCATGTAAGGTCAAGAAGGCAGCTGTCTGTCAACAAGGAAGAGAGCCTTCACCAGAAACCAAATTTGCCACCACCTTGATCTTGGACTTCCAGTCTCTAGTACTGTAGGAAAACTAATTTCTGTTGTTTAAGCCACCCAGTCTGTGGTACTGTGTTACGGCAGCCATTGCAAATTAATACAGAGGAGAAACAGAAAAGGAAAGGAGGCAGAGAAGGGAAGGGAGAATAAAAGAAAAAGAGGAGGAGAGGTGAGAAGAAAAATAGCCATTCTTGATTTCTCTTGGGATTTAGGGAGGAGCTTGCATATTATGAAACAGTGAAAGGAGCAGAACAGTGAACAAAACTTTGAGGAAATCTCTTTTAACCATTGCCAGGGATGCCTGTAGAACGAGCTGTGCACAGACATGAGCTCTGCACACACACTGGCATCCCTCCAGGGCATCTGCTGACCTCCAACAAGAAACAACCTTTGAGTTACCAGTTCCTGAATTCTTGACAAGTCATGTTGCCCCCAAAGGGAAGCATCCAAAGGAAATCATACTAGGTTCCTACTAAACAGTTGGCTTCCATTTTTTAAAAGGGTTTCCAAATTAGTCACAGGGGAATGCTTCAGATATGCATGTTTTTCCTAACCTTGGCATCCGATTTTTTCCACCCTCACTGCTTCTAGTTCTGCCTTCAAAGGGACAGAGAGCTGAACTTAATGGGAGACACGCTCCTTTGTCTCCATCAGAAGCGATTCCGTAAGCAGGGAGCAGCACTCCCCCATCAAGCCTGTCAACTGCTCAGTGTTCTACCGTTTTCCACATGGTTAAAGGCATGTCAGCAGGGGAGGGGTCCCTACTGGAGGCAGAGGCACCTGACAAGGTGTGTTTACAGCAGATGCTTAGATCTTGTTTTAGCATCATCTGATCATTAGAGGAAGCAGAGTTTGAAAGAGATTCTGTCCAAGGGTGCAAAAAACTGAGCACCTAGTATGGTGCAGCTGAGAAAGCAATGTTTTTAAAGATGGAATAAATCTGTTTGGTGTCAAAGAAACTTGAAAAAATTCAAAATTTTAAAAAAAAGAAATAAAAGATAAAGATAGAATAAATATGTGACCACAGAGGAGTGTTGTTAGTACTCAAGAAGGGTGGAATTTTTTTAACCTTGCATTAGACATTCCGAGATAACAGATGAGACTGGGCCATTTATTGCATTCCTGGACTGTGCTTTGTTTTCACTGTATTTCCCCCCTCTGAGAATCAAGAAGGTAGTCAAGCCCTTTCTTGTCCCCTGACTTCAGAGAAGATTTATATTATAGGGCAATCAGGAGGATCTGACTGCATAGCATTTGCCTTTTGTTTCCCTGAAACATGCCATTCTATAGAGGTGGCCAACTTTGGGAGTCTCCAAAACAGCCCCTGAGACAAGGATGTCAGTGCAAGTTTACCTGGGAGGTGAGATCAGAAGGCACTCACCCCCATGACAGAGTTGTGGGGACGTAAAGAAAGGAGGGTAAGAAACCACTAGAGGGAGAGGGCAGGTTATCAATGTAAGCAACTGAGACTCAAGCCTGCTGGGGAACTCTGGGAGACAGTGTAGACAATGTCCCCGAGTAATTCCAACCAAGAAGCAAGGGATCTGGGGTATTTATCCGCCAAATCCCACCCAGCATTGGTTGAGGGCTGTTCCTGGTGGGATATCAACTGCCCAATACTTCAGCCTACCCTGGGAGCAGGCCAGGGGGCTACAGTGGCCAGAGGAAGGCAAAGATCCACATGCCTTTTTGCAGTTGGAAGTGGGCTTCCAGTGGGATTTGGGTCAATGGGTTTGGGAATGAGGGCTTAAAGGGACATGGGTGGGGCACCACAGGGGTTATGCTAAGGGAAGGGAGGGGTGAATGCTTTTGAGGATGAGGAAGAAGAATTTGTAAAAATTAAAGGGTCATGGAGAGCTCACAGGTTTCACAAGCAGGATGGTCACAACCCAAAGCCCATGCCTTCTTGGGACCCCAGGGAAGTGACAGGCCTGGACTCGCCATCCTGTATTTGCTTCCATACTTGGAGCCTAGGAGTTATTCCTGATGCGGGGTCCAGCCTCCTATGTGCACTCCACAACCTGCCAATCAGAATAGATGCCCATCTATTCGTAATGGACATTCGACCAATCAGAGTAGATGTCCAGTAAGTTAGAACTAGCACTCATCCAACACTGGCCATTAACAATGAGTTCTACTGGTTGTACTAGTTAAATAGCTCTAGCTGTGGGCAAACCCAGACCTAAACACAGGTTTGAGGTCGGGAGCTTGGACTTCAGCTCCCAGCCTCCACCTCTGCAACCTTTCCTCTTTCTCCCATTCTATCTCTTTCAGCCAGCTACCCAATTACTTCATGTGGCCCAGGGCTCATGGCTTCAGAATTCTCACTTGAGAAAGGTTTATGTATCAGTCATTTACACCACAGTATAAATTAAAAGCACTAAAGCATCTGAACAGTGAACTTCATCTCTGTCTGTGGAAGAAAAGGTAGAATCCCCATGAAAAGACACATCCACAGCAGAAGGTCTTTGAAATTAACTCCACAGTGGCAGTCCACACGGGTAGGCTGTAAAGCAGGCCAATCTTTAGAGTTTATAAGGAAAGTGCTGCTGGCCTGTCTTCCCAGGTCTGTCACAGCTGCTGGTGCTCGTGTCCCTCACATGTCAAAGTCTGATGACCACCTTTGTTACTGACTCTGCTGCTACAGGGTGCTCCACCCACCCACCCACACATAACCCAATGGTCGGTGAGGAACCGCAGGTCTGAAAGACGCAGAAAGTCCTGCTTTCGCAGAAGGTGCTACCCAGGTTCCAAAGACCACCGCGCATGCGCTCTCAGCTGCCTCGGACTGCGCCGGCGCGCGGCCGTGAGGAAGAACGCCTACCCGCTCTTCCACAGCAGCGTCCCTTGCGATGGCCCCCCTTTCAGTTCCCGCAGCCACCGCTCCCCTGAGACTGCTTCTCACGGAAAGCAGCCCACACTGCCCTCGGCCGGTTCCTCTCCCCACTCTCCAGTCACCACCACCACTCTGACCTGGATGTTGCTGCAGATTGCTCTTCCGAAAGCACAGCCTGAATGAAGTAAGCCATTCCCTCTGGCAGACGCTCCGTGTGGTGTCACTGCCGGAGTCACCAGGGCGAGGAGGAAGACGAGTGCCGCCCTCCAAAGCCCCTCGCCATGGCTGTGCCTCACGGTGGCTTCCTCAGAGTGATGCCGGCCCGGCGTCACGTGGGGGCTGTACGCATGCGCATTCCCCGCACAAGATGGAAACCGCTAGTCCTGTGGCGTCACTTCCGCTACGTTCTAGTGATGATCTCCAAGTCGCCAGACACGCGATTCAAAGTGAAGGGAATTCGACTCCACTTCTTGATGGGGAGAAGAGCATGTGGCATGGGAGATACTGTCCGAATCATCTTTGGAAAATGCCATCTGCCCAATAGCTCAAAGCCAAACTAAACCATTGCTGGAACTACTGGCTGTTAGCCAAAGCCAAGCATGGCCACACTGCCCCACGTTGTGACCATGACCCCTGCGTAGGGTTCTAAATCTGACCCAGCCTTCAAGGCCCACCACAGATGCCACCTTCTCCGTGAAGCCAGCATCTCAGCCAAAAAGGAAGCTCTTCCTCCTCCATCCACTGGCCACGCTGCAGCTGGTCTTTCAGGTACCTACCCTTTTCTACCTTGCATCCTAGGTGTCTGGCCTGCCCGGATCCTCCGGTCTCCATGGTGCGTGCCTCACACCTCCCTGTGGCCCTTCTGTGTTTGCGACTTGCCCTGTTCCACAGCATACTCAAACTGGATAAGGTCTCCAACAGCGCACCATGAGAGACCTGTATAATCAGAACAACATGGGCTGGGGACGTGTCTGTCAGTGAAACGTGTCTCTGGAAGGCTTATCAGCTTTTGCATGCAGCCCTGGCCCTGGCCCAGCCCCAGCTGGCAAGCTCTGGAGGATGAGTTGGACAAGCTGACATTGTCACTAATGCTGTCCAGGCCCATATGTCCATCCATGGCTCCTTAAATACAGTGCTTGAAACAAGGTTCCCCAGCCTTCTAGGCCAGATTGGCAGAGCTACAAGGGGCTGCACGGGGCAAGTTGTCACACAAAGCTCTTGGCTATACAAATTTTGCCTTGGGGTCCTGTGGAGTCCCAGAGCAGTTTGAGACATCTTTTCCATCTGGCAGTGGTGTTCATGTGCCAAATGTGGTTATTCTACCTTCTTGACCAAGATCAGCAAATTACATCCCAGGGGGCCTAATCTGGCCCATTCCTGTTTTGGTAAAGTTTGATTGGAACACAACCATGCCCATTCATTACATATTGTCTATGACTGTGTTCACACTCACACAATGGCAGAGTTGAGAAGTGCGACAGATCATATGGCCTGCAAAACCTAAAATGTTTGCTGTCTGGCCCTTCACAGAAAAGGTTGCCCACCCTTGCTCTACCAGACACTTGCAGAGGACCTCTCTGTTCCCCAGTCCAGAGATGGGCAGCAGGGAAGGAAGAGTCCCAGTTGGCATGTCCCACCTCCTATTCTATTCAACTGGGACACAGTTCAGACACTCAAATGGGGGAGAAAATGGCTCCAGAAAGCCCACAAGAAAGAGGCCCACATTATAACAGGTCAAAGGCATGACAAGAAAGAGACTAGCCTGCTCCTAGGACCAGCAGGCTGCCCTAGCCTCTGCTCCTCTGGTTTCCTTCCATGGAGGTGGGCAAGATATTTCTCCTGTGTTAGCTAAGAGCTTGGATTGGAATTGTATTCAAGGAAAACCCAGAGAAAGAAAATTCAGGGGATGGGGGATGGAGAAACATCAAAAAGCTCAGAAATGGACTTGTTTACACATGCTGTTAGTATAAGGAAATCCCAGCCCTAGTCAGCTCAGCAAGAACTGCCCCAAGCCCACAGCATGTAGCATCCCCACAGTTGGGCCAGGGCACAGTCTCTGGCTGACCCAAAAGCTGGGTCTCACTATGAGATTCAGAGCCACCATACAAGGTTCTTGTTCTCTGGGGTCCTTTCTTACCTCAGGTCACAGTTGGCACTGTTGTCCCAGGAGCCCTTAGATGGGGACCATTAGATGCATTCCCCATAGTGAACCACCACCAGGTGACTCTACAAAGGGACACCTCTATTCTCACCCATTTGTAGGAGAGAGGTGTAGACCCTACCCTGAGCACAGGAAATGGACATTTTTCCTTCTCAGGTGACCAACATGTAGCCTTTTCCTTAAGGAAGGAAGCTTATAGAATTTTCATCCATAAGACTTCCAAAGTGATGAGTTCCAAGAATGAATCTGTCACTTGTCAGTTTTGTAACCTCAAGAAAACTATTTAAATCTTCTGAACCTCTATTTTCTTTTTTAAAAATATGATAAAAATACCAACCTCATGTGGCTAAATGACATATATGAGGCCTTTACTATGTTGACTGGCACATAGGATGAATGAGGGCTTTGAACAAATGGGAACAATGACACATGTGGCACAGGAAGTTGCATTCTCTCATGGCACCCCTTGGGACATGTTTTCTCTCTATTTTCCTGTTTCACTCAATTTACTTTTATTTATCTTCATATACATTTCTTCCCTTTCTATTCCATTCTCAAGACAATAAAGAATAAGGGATATACTTGTAAAGTGAATTTACATTTGATTACATTATATTGAAATATAAAATTTGTAAGGACAGCCCTATATTCCTGCCTTCTGTCTTTCTTACCTCAAACCACTTTGTATAATCTTCAGAGAGTCACTTGACCTTGACAGGCCTCAGTATTCCCATCTGCAACAGTAAGGGATTTGGACTATTATGTCTGGCTGTATTGTGGGATATCTGATCTGAGAAAATGGTTGGGACAGAAGGATCGATCTTCTGGTTTGGAGCCAATTAGTCATCAGTAAGCCAAAGCTAGCAGGCTCCCAGAAATCAGAAAGTAATTTTTAATTTGATCTCTTTGTATGTCAGTCCTCCTCATTTCTGCTTTATCCACTAATTGTGTATAATTCCCCTATAAATTCACTCTCAGTCATCCTTCCAAAGAAAAGAAAGTTTTAAAAAACCTGAAAAATAATCCCTGATTATCTGAACTCTTTAGAACATACTCCAAGGATTGGGCCTCTCGGAGGTGATCAGCTATCTGCCATGAAGCTAAATTTATATGTGGCTAATAAATATGTGTATGTGAATTAGTTTGATAAGGAAGTAGCAAAATAAAAAGGAATTATTCTAAGAGTATCCTAAAAGTCATTTATGGCAACTTACAGAAACCGCTGGAGTTCACAGGGTTAGGCCCCAGACCCTAGTCAGTAGGTCCAGGCCAAGAGCCTGACGTCCTCGGTCTGCAGGTCCAAAAGTACCATCAGCTTTTCAGAGTAGCATTGGGCCAGGGACTGCAGCTGCATACGGCCTTCCCTCCCAACAGGTCAGGGTGGCATTGAGGGCTTTTCTCTGGAGGTTAGTGGCCCAATTGACCTGCCAGGGACAGCCAAATGGGATCTGAATACCAGGCTCAAGACCCAAAGCCCCAGCCCCTCTAGTCACTGTCCCTGAAGACCTTTGCAGTTGGCGAGGTCTAAACCGCAACAGCGCCTCCTATAAGGCCTCTCTGTAGCACTGCTCTCCTCCCATCTGCTTCCCCCCACTGGGACTTGATCTCGGAATTGCGTAAATGATCTGGTCACCCCTGTTTAAAGATTCTTGCTGGTCACTTGCAATTCTCTCTATAGCACTATAGCACTCAAAAGCTCAGCTTGAGTTTCTTCTCAGCCTACCTTTCCATGCCACAGATACCTTCCCACCACACACATGTGCACACACACACTCATACACACACAGACACAACATATACACAGAAGTGAAATGAACATTTACCAAGTGAATTTGAACCCAAGAAGAAGAGGGTCTTCCAGCTGTCTCACCATCATGTAGAGCCTGTGCATTAACATACAAGTTGGGAAGAAACCAAGAACCGTAGATATCACTTGAGCCTCTGGATCAAGCCACACCTGAAGCTAGCACTACCCTATGGGCATCTCATTATGTCAGCCAATAAATGCCCTTCTTTATTGTTCTATTGTTGAAGGCTGGTCACTTTGGGTTTTCATCACTTGCTAGCTAAGGATCCAGACTGATCAGAATCCTGGGAATCAAGCACCTGGCATTCAGAAGTTGCCTGCCAAGTCCACCTCATCTCTACAGCTATACTCTTCCTCCAGGACTCAGTTGAGTTTCTTTAAAGACTAGGGCTCAGTCTTCTTTCATTTGTACTCATCTGATGGCACCTACTACTGTTCTCTGCACATAAAACCTTTTTCTTAAAGCTGATGTAGCATTCTGGATAACTGAGAATCAGGGAATATCCTTTTACTTCATATTCTAAGTCTTTCTCCCACACAAAGACTTACATAAGAATGATCATAACAACACTATTTATAATAGCCCAAAATTGGATACAATTCAAATCTCCATCAATTGGTGAATAGGCTAAAAAATGTGGTATATCCATGAAATGAAATCTTATTCGGCAACAAAAGGAAACAGACTATAGATATACCAGGAGATGTGGATGGACCTCAAAAACATTTGCTAAGTAAAAGAAGCAGCCACAAGAGACTGAATAGTGTATGATTCCATTTATTTGAAATGTCTAGGAAAGTTAAATCTATGAAGACAAAGTAGGATAATGGCTATCTGGGGTGCAGGGAGGAAGGAACAGCGATTAACAGTAAATGTACATGAGATCTTGGGTGATGGAAATGTTCAAAAGCTGATTATGGTGATGGTTGCACAACTTCATAAATTTATCTTTAAAAAAATCATTGAATTGTACACTTGAAAAGGACAAATTATATGATATATAAAATATGCCTCAATAAAGTATTTTTCAATTCCGAAATTCACAAGCCCGTATTTTAAAATCTTTTTTTGCATGACTCTGCCTCTGGCCTCAGTAAGTCAGATGAACCACAGGACGTCTACATCTGACACTGCCGAAAGCTTTACATTTTAGATGCAGAAACTTCAAACACAGAGCCGAAACTGTAAGTCCCACAAGACCTACCCAGAAAGCTTTATTAGCAAGTCTCCAGTTTTGCCCCACCTGCAAGGTGTTCATATCTCTCTATATTGGGCTCTGATTGATCAGAATCTTTATCCTTTTCCGTTTCCTCCAGAATCCCCTGGGTGTGGTACGGGGGTGAGGGGAGAGAGAGACTCAGAGCATTTGAGGCAACCTCAGCTAGAGATCCTGTCAGTCCCTGCATTCCCCATCCTCAGGCGCGTCGTAGGAGCTCAGTATCTGCGGGGCTGAGTGGAAGCCGAGCACTTGTGTCTCACTGGGGAAACACGCGTGGCCCGCTGCCGAGCACCTCTAAGCAGAGCAGCCGGCTAAACACAGCACCAGTGAGTCAAATTTGTGTTTGCGAGGGGAAACAAACAAAGCAGATCAAAGGCTTGATGTGATAATTAGAAACACACTCATCACTGTTCAGAAGCTGCTGAGGATCCCCGCTCTCCAAGACGGAGCAAAAGCAGCAGGCACTGTTTTAAATCTGTTCTCACCCTCCCCTCCAATCCCTTGGATTTACTTTTCTTTTTCTGCTGAGCAGGTTGACAGTTCTGCTTGCCATATTTACAACCAAAGGATCGGTCCTGTTTTTCTCAGCCTGTTGGCCCCTGTACATCCATTAAGACAACCTCAAAGACCTCACCCTCTGGGAAGCTGTTCCTGGTCCCCTACTGTGGCACTCACACTTAGCACTTCCTCCGTTCTGCTTTGTTCTTATAGCCAGGAGCGAGCCCGCTGGGCCCCACCAGACCGTCAGCTCCATGAGGGCAAAACGCAGCTTGGCATGTGCTCGAACCCACAACGTTGACTGTGTAGCATCTGTTCGCCCTTTGTAGGGCCCTCAGTGTGCCCTGTGCTGCTGCCTCTCACCTTCAGCCTCCTCTAGCCCCTTGATTCAGAGGGAAAAGAGAGACATTCAATTCCCTCCTTCCCTCCACCCCCTATCTGTTCATCGCACCAGGTATCACTTCCTCCCTGTCTTAAAATCTCCCTGTGTGTGACTCTGCCTCCTGGCCTCAGTGAGGCAGTGGGGTGAGCCACGCCACATCTGCACCTGGTTTTACACTCTAGATGCAGAAGCTCAAGAGCTGAAACCATAAAATCATAAATTCCCCAAGACCTACCCAGAAAGCTTTTTTTTTTTTATGAGCAAGTCTCCAGCTTTGACCCACCTACAAGGTGTCCAGACTTCTGTATTATCATGTTCAGATTGATCAGAATCTTTATCCTGTTCTCTTCTTTCTTTAGAACCTCTTGGGACAACAGGCAGGAAGAGAGAGAGTCAGAAGCATTTGAGGCAACTTTCTCCTCCTCAAAGCTAAGCCCTCTATTCCATCCCTTTCCATTTCCTGGTGTCATCAAATACCCAACCTCTCCCGCATTTACTTCCTACCTCGTCCTCCCAGCGTGATCAAGTCAACTCCACCCTCACACGCACACACACACGTGTGCACACTAACATGCACACACTCAGCAGGCAACGTGCAGTAACGAGGAGAAAGGAGCGGGGGAGGGAGGCTGAGAAGAGGAAATGAAAGAGTTTGGGGAAGGCCCAGGAGCAAGTGTTGTCACCAACACCAGGACACATCAGCCTCCCAGGCCCCTGTCCTTGGCTTTGTCTCCAGGTGGTCTCACTCTGTGCAAGGTCTAGTTAGGAACTACCCCAGACCCACAGGCCATCTCAGCCCTGTCTAAGCAGCATCGCCATTACCCACCTGTCCCCCATACTCAGGCACTCAGGAACCCTCGTATTCGATCAGTCGCCCCGTCCTGGCTCCACAATGACTCTGGGCTCTTTCCCCACCTCCACCACTTCTCTCCCTCCTGCTATCTCCCACCACTTCTCTCCCTCCTGCCAGCTCCTGGTCTTGCCAACTCCAGTCTCGCCTCCAAGGCTCTGAACCGCCACCAGAGTCATCTTTCTGAACTGCAAATGTGGTCCTGTCACCTGTTTACAAGCATTCAGTGGCTCCTCAGCACCCAGAGATTGATGTCTAAAAGCCTCAGCATGGCATTCAAGGCCTCCTCCTCCAGTCTGTCACCACTCTGAGCCTTCCCAGACTCACCTGCCACCCCCCAGCCTGCACGTTGCTTGCTGCGTCTCCATCCAAACTGTAGGGATCCTTCAGATAGGGACTTTGTTTTGTTCATCTTCACCATGAGTGCCTAGCACAACGCCAGGCACATGGTAGGTGCTTTAATTGGTTTTAATATTATTGGATTATAGTGAGGCCAAAAGATTGGGAGACAATTGCTATTGAAAAGATAATTTGTTATAGTTCCCAAGAAGAGAGGGCATGCCATGCCATGGAGGATTACAGGGGCAGGGTCCGTCAGCAGGCAGAAGGAGCAAGGGGCACACATGGGTAAGACCCGTGATTGTGGTTTGCACAGGGAGGAACAGGCAAGGCAGGGCAAGCAAGGTCTTGGCTAGTTTGAATCATTTCAGTGGGCACGGGGGCTATACCTGGTTGTCTGGCACCTGGCCCTGGGGTGATTTGGGCAGGTGGACAGTGACCTGAGTGTGAGAGCCCAATACGGGAGGTAGATGGAGGTGTAGACTCTGGACTAGTCAGTTTGTATCTGAAAGGCATACTCCCTGGAGGAGCCAACAAGGGATGCAGGAGGCCAAGGCAAGGTGACTCCAGCTCATTATTGGGTTGTTTGGGACCAAGGTGTGTATAGCAAATGAATAAAGGGCAGGTGTTAACGCCCCAACTTTACAGAAGCTAGAATCACTGTTAATACAGTAGGTGCTTAAAGGAAGTGGAAAGAATGACCAGATGGGTGGATGGATAGATAGGTGGTATATGGCTCACATGCTAACAGTTTTGGGTAGTCTAGAGAGGTCACTGAAGCATTTTGATTTTCCATCTTTTAGTTTTTTGTATATTCCAAATATGAAAATGAGGATTTGTACATAAAAAAACCTCTCAGAAAAACTTGAGAAATAAAACAATTTTCTCCACCGCCTGGCTATGATACATATTTACCATTTCTTCACAATTTTTCCTTCTAATTATGGTTAGACATAAAACTCCTATTCCAGTTCTAAGGGGAGAATATGGAATTTGCATTTACCATGCCAATAAATGCAATAAAAACAGCAATATTCTGGTTTTGAAGAGCTCGTTTGTGCTGATGAAGTCCCAGATCTGGAGCAGGAGGGGCTCAAGGTCAGAGAAGACAAAGGATTTGTGGGAACTGAGCCTCTGTGTGGTCTAGTGGCTTCAGAAATAGCAATATGGAGACCAATACCCCTGATGTCTGACACCCACCTAACTCTCTCTCTCTCTCGAGCTCTCTCTCCCCTCTCTGTTGCAAGTACCAAGTTTTAACCACCAATTAACAGATGACTAATGATTTCAAACCTAATGCAGAGATGTCTCCAAAGGCAGCCACACTTTGAAAGTAGAGCAGAAATCCAACTCTCAGACGCATCCCAGACATATTCCTGTTGTCCATTCCCCACTTTTCTGTGAGTTTTGTGTGATCATAGGGGATTTTTAACTCTTTTAGGTTGGTGTCACCAAACTCATTAAAACACCCTGCTCGCTTACATCATACAAATTAATATAAATCCAAATGAAGGTAAAGGAAGTAAGACTGCACTTCTAAGATGGAAGACTGCAAACCATGACTGAAATCTCATTTTCGGTGATTTTGGTCTCCTATTGGAACAATGTCAGAGGACAGTGAGGGACTCAGAAGGCAAATGGAAAGCTGAGATTTCCACCATTCCCAAAAGGAGGGCCACCCGGGGCTCATGCAGCTTGGTCTTTAGCTGGAAACTAATAAAAAGTAAGGCAATAAAACACATTATTGCAGTCAGTACAAGAGAGACAATACTCAGTTAAGCAGGCCAGAAAGTTTATTGCCTATTTCGCAGGCCCCAGTTCATTAAGCGTCCTGCTGAACACTGTGGTGGTTCCAAGTTCTAAATGAAGTGGCCTCTCCCGGCAATGAAAGACTTGGGTAACTTCAGACTAAACTTCCATTGTTTTCCCCACAGGCCATCAGAAACAGGATTGAGCCATGGAAACGTCAGCGACAGGGCACAAGGAGCAGATCAGCGTGCCCAGGCCTGGTTATGGGAAACGCACAACAATCCTGTGCTAATGAGAAGGCTTTGTCGGGCGCCTGTGGGACTTGCGTGCCACCACCACCGCTGCCCCCAGCCCCCAGCACTGAAACGCATCTTTTGAAATGCTGCTAGCTCACCACTCGTTTTCTTTGTGCTGGACACATTGTGGTAGCAGCACCATCCGGGCTCTGGAAGCTACCAGCTGGTCTTCTTTCCGCCCTGCCTCTGCCCCACGCCAGGGGCCCCTCTGCATCCCATCACTGGATAAATTTGGTAACTTGCAGGAAAACTTCCTATTTTAAAATTTTCTACCCCCTCCCTGGCCCCCTGCTTTCTGTAGGCTCCTACATGCAGCAAGGCTTTCCTTTTTTCTCCTTCAAGAGATGAGGCAGACTTGGCCAAGCAAGGATCAGGGGGTTCTCAGCCTCTGCGGGGGCCACCTAACTCTCACTTACCCCCCATTGCAGCTCCCTCCGTCCCCAGCCCTGGGAAGCAGTGGGCATCGGAAGGAGAGCTAGGGTCCTCTCTCTCTCTCTCTCCTGGGATGCATGACTTGTCCCCAGGTCCCATAACATGCTTGTAACAAAAGTCACTCCTGTCCATCTTTCCCCACATAGTCAGTCCCTGAAGCAACATGGCCTCTGCTTTGGCCCAGTTTTGCCATTAACCACTAGTCCCCATATCCCAGCCCCCCACCTTCACCAGGGCCTGGCAACTATGACACACCCCCAGAAGAACTTTTGCTTTCTTGATTTCCTGAAGATCTCCAGCATCTGTTAAAAATATAGTGCCAGGTGATTCAGATGCACAAACAATTCAGGATTGGGACCCTGAATATTATCTCTACCTATAACGTAGTAGCTGTTAAACTGAAATAATATTTCACATATACCGGGTCCGTCTGAATATGGACTAAATGTTAGATAATATGAAATTGTTGATGAATTTTCTTAGGTGTAATAATAGTATTGCAGTTGTTAGGAAAATTTAAGTACACACTCATAGAGAAATAGTTAAACCACATATAGCAAAACATAAAAAATTGAATCTAGATGGAGGGTATATGAGTGTTTAATGTATTCGTATTTCAACTTTTTTCAGAATTTGAACATTTTCATAACAAAAAACTAAAATAAGGAAACAGCCAAATAAAATATTTCATATAACTATAATTTATTTTAAAGAGAAAAAATAAAACCTTTATTATATAAAGTTTTTCCATGTCAAAATATGCTAATTATTCAGAAATCTAAGAGAAAATGGCCCCAGAAAGTGACAGAGACTTGTGCTCTGAGGTGATAATGAGGGTGTGAAGCTGGGGTGGATGTCATTTGAGCAGACTTTGGGGAGGGCAGTTCAGGAAGGCTGATCAAAAGCATTTCCCCAGCAATTCCACTGCTGAGAGTTTACCCTAAGCAAATAAGAAAACAAAGGGGTTAAGACATGTATATAAGGATGATCAAGAAAGCATAGTTTTTAAAAGAAAAAAAAAACTGGCAATCAACAAATCATCCCTTAATAGGGGGTTGAATATTCAGCCATTAAAATTAAGGATATATGTCGATAATATATATGTTAACTTGAACAGAAGCCCACAGTTGAAAACGTCAGATACAGACAGGTAGATAAAAACAAGGAGAAACTATAGTTCTTGAGGGAATTGTTTTGTCTTGTTTTTTGTTTGTTGTTTGGTCTTTAGTCTTTGTTTTCCTAGAAAAATTTTAAATAATCATTTATTACTTTTATAATTAGGAAAAAACAAATGGCCACTTCCATTTGGGGACTGAAAGGACACAACAACCCTTCTCACCCGCAGTAAATCAGTGGGGCACAGCATGTGCCAAGTGACCCTGCCCGCCCCCCAGAGAAAGGATGGACAACTGTTGACAGAGCTCCCTTCCTGCCCAGCCATGGCTGACGGAACGTGTCCGCCAGGACGCCTCCCAGGGGCCCATGGGTTACCCGCGTGTGCAGTCCTCGGCTTCTCAGAAAGAAGAGTACACACTGTTACGATCTTTCTCCCCAGGCATGCCAGGCTGCATTTCATAGTTTGATTGAAATTATGCCATCCAGTCTGTCTCTCTACAAACAAATGGAATATTCTTAGCTGCCAGCATTTGGAGGCGCACAGCTTGCATCTTTTTATGAAGAAAAATAAACACTGTGTATTGTTAACAACCAAGCCACGATGGATAAAACATGCCTGCGATCGAGAACCACGTGCACGGCCCAGGTTGCCGACTGGAGGCCGGTGGGGGCGGCAGGAAGGGGCTCAGGCAGGGGCCGCAGGAGACGGGTGGGAGCTGTGTGCGGGTGTGCCATGGGCAGCGGGGATTCTTATCTGGTCACATCCCCACCATTCCTACAGCACACCAGGCACGTGTTGTTTACTCCATTGGTGACATTCAGTGGTGGCATCCAATTTCCTCTGTGCTTCCAGCCATGACTCAAGTGCTTCGGGTTTGCCCCGCGCCCCCAGACACCCTCAGGCTGCTCTGAGGACTGGATGGAATCTCAACGCACTCACGTGTGATTTTCCCACTCACTCCTTAGGACACTGCTTCTCTGAAGGGCCTCACAGGGCCACAGTCCTAGAGCAGTGGTTCTCAAAGGGTGGTCCCGGGCCAGCAGCAGCAGCAGTAGCAGCAGCAGTTGGGGACTTAGGAAATGCTTAGATCCTGCTCTAGACCTGCTGAAGAGGGATGGGCAAAGGGCGAAGGTGCTTGCCGAGTGAACCTACACCCATTCACACACTTTCTAGTTTACCCAGTGAGCTCTACTCACGTCTCTTTGGCCAGAACTGTGTCAGATGGCCACTGCTCAGTGCAGGGAGGGCTGGGAAGGTGGCTTCTGAGCTGGGCCCATCGCATCCCACCCCCAACACACACACACACTAAAGCAGGGTCCTTTCCCTACAGAAGGGAAGGCGGGCAGCCAAGCAGGGAAAGGGGGCGCCTGCCACAGCTATGCGGTGTCTCTACTTCACTCTTCCTCTCTCAGGCCCTTATAGAGAAAAGATGAAGGAGCACCATGCACCATCTGTGCACAGCAGGCCAGAAGGTTCTGGAGTTGCCGGCTGTCCCATGGGTTACCATGCCACCCCAGATCATTTCTGGGAAGGGGCAGGAGATGGTTGCCCCTCTTATGTCCTCTCCTGTCTCTCATCTTTGAGTGACACTCCACTCATCGCCTCTCCCTCTTGGATCCTGGGAAGATGGCGCTACCCTGAGCAAGCTCCTCTGCTTCACAGTGGCACTTTCTGTATTTGGAAACGCCTGTGACCTCATTGTTTCTCTCTCTGTGCTGTGGGGGGACTGAGTGACACCTCACCACATGCTCTTGAGTCCCACAGTTGCTCGTCTTTGGCAGACCCGAGGCTCTTGACCTGCTTTTACAGGCCATGTTCCAAGCAACCATCGCTACATAACAAACCAGCCCAGAACTTGGTGGCTTAAAGCCATAACTTATTCTGTCTCATAATTCGGTTGGTTTACTGGCCTCAGCTAGAGGTTCTCACCAGGCCTCTCACAAGGTTGTGGTCTGATGTCACTTGGGGCTGCATCATTCAAAGGCTCAACTGGCCTCCACTTGTAAGACAGCACGTGCTCAGTGCTCCCTGTCAGCTGAACTCTCAGGGGCCGCTGGAGACTGGAGCGCCCACCCATGGCTTCTCCACCCTATATAAACTGGATTATAAGAGGGAATGTTCCAAGAGGCCCACACAAAAGCTATAAGGCTCCTTATGAGCTAGCCTTGGAAGTGCCAGCCACATTGTATGCGTGAAGCATGTTACTTAGGCCAGCCCAGATTCAAGAGGAGTGGAATTAGACACCACCAGTCAATGGGGAGAGTAGCAAAGAATTCATGGCCATTTGCAATCTACCACACTTTGTTTTATAAATAAGGAAACTGAGGCCCCATCCATAGCCGCTCATGCTGTTAATGGCAGATTCCGAACTGATACTCAACTGCCACTGACACCCCACCCCAGCCCAGCAGTCTTCATCATTGCTGATCAAAGTGATGTAGTAGGTTTTTGCTGATAAACACAAATATTATCCTAATTATAGGGAAAAGACCATCCTTAAGCAGAACTTCTAGGCTTTGTTTTAGGGAATATTCATTGAATATCAAATTCTTCACAAAACTTCATAAGATTCCTCCATGTGTCAAATACATAGGAACATGTGGCTGTCCATACAGGTAGAAAATCCACCTGTAGCAAAAGCAGTAATAACCTCTCATGGCCACTCAACTCAAAACCAGATCCTGGGAAAACTCTCAAAATGTCTTGCCAAGTATTTGCCAAGCCTCTATATATTTTGAGTATGTTAACAAAATACACCACAAAGAAGGTCTCTGCCTGTGGGACTTTATGCTTTAAGGCCAGAATCAGAATCAGCTGTCTTATAAAACAGACTTCCCTGAAAGACTCCCTCACCACATCTTCCCCAGACACACCAATACCAACACAAAGGGTAGGACTTCCTGCCAGAGTGTCTTCATCATCTGTGTGGGAGAGACTTAGATATATACAAAAATCTAGTCTCCAAGTTTTCCAGTTTTATCTGGCCATATGGCCGTTTGAATAAGATCTGTACTTCCCAGCTCCCCATGCACCACATTCAGACTGGTGGGACACGTATTAAGGTGATGTGTGCAATGTCTGGACCAGGACCTGGAAGGAGTGGGGCCCACCCTCCTCCTACCTCTCCTCTGCCCTTTCTGCTGGCTGGAATGCAGACGTGCCAGTTGGAGCTAGAGCAGCCATCACAGACCCAAAGGATGGAAGCCTGCTGTATATGACAGTGTGGTAGTCACTGGAGCTGCCTGGCACATTTAGTTCTCACCTGTCTCTGGGAACACCTGTAGGAGCACTTCTGTCCATTGAGTTGTGTCGCTTCCAGTCTGAGCATTTCATTGCTGATATAAAGCCTTTGCTTAGATTTCAGTTTCTTGAGCAAAAAAAAAAAAAAAAGAAAATAATAAAGCCTTTGCTGTGGCCACCAGAAATGTTCCAGACAGTGGCTGTTCCATCAGCTCGAGTCTCATATAAGGATAATGCCTTTTTGCTGACTCTCAACAGACAGGTAGCACAAGGGAGAAATAAAACTTGGTTGTTTTCAGCCACATAGATCCGGAGGATTGTTTGTTACTGCAGCATAGCCTCACCTTTCCTGACTAATATACCAGGCAACAAGAGAGTAGGATCTTGGGTCCCTAAAATCATAACACCACTATCACTCCTGTACTGCTCACACTGGTATGAGAGAAACACCTTTATCTTTTTCTAAGGCATTGTTATTTTGGTGGTTCTTTAGCAACCAAACTATCTTTTTACTAAGATAATTATCTATAAGGGAAATAATTTTGGAAGGCATTCAGGCTCCTGGTGATAAGGAAGGGCACCGGAAAGCTGACCTTTAGGTTCTGAGCATATCAGAAAGTCCAAGTTTGGGCAGATGAGTCTAATCTCACAGCAGAAACTGAAAGCCAGTGCCACACCTGCACTCCAGTTATCTCACCCAAGGTGGCCAGAAAGCCGCAGTCTTTATCCACCAATTCCTGAGAGTCATTGGTGGAGTGTGGCTCCTGGGACAGTAATTTTTCAGCACTTCCAGCCTGACATATTGACAGCAGAGAAAGTTAGTTTGGAAGACAGAGAAAGCCCTCAGGTGAAGCAAGGTAGGTGCTGGCAATGTTGAAAGGCGACCCATCTATATTGTGGAGGGAAGAGCAAGAAGATACAGACAAGACGACAACAGCAGGTGCCACATGCTTCTAGATCCTCACCTCTACCCTGAGCAGGAGCTTCTGTGTGTGGTACCAACAGGGAGGACATCTTCAATCCCACAACCACAGCTGTGTCTGAGGAAAAGCCCCAGGCAGCCCAGCCCCTGCTTACCTCTCTAGCCTTTTGTTCTTTCTTTATGCATTCGGTGCTAACCAGACTGAGCATCTGTAGCTTCTCCAATATCCATGCCTGTCACACTCCAGCCTTTTTCACACTCTGCTCCTGTGGCTCAGAATTCTCTTCTCTGGTTCCAAAGGCTGACATTCATCCTACAGGTCTCCAGCTTAGACGTAACTTCCTCTAGGAAGACTTCGCTAGCCACTGAAGTCCAAGTGGGATGCCCATGCTCTGAGTTCCCTTTGCCCAGGTCTCCCAGTGTCTGCTCCAGCCCCCCTGGTCATCGTTCATTAATGTTTATCCCCTCATCCCCTAGATCAGTGGCCCAAGATGAAAACTTGACCAGCAGTGGAGCAAGCAGGTCTGAATGCAAATGCCAGCAGTAGGCAAGAGCCGCATTCTTGTAAGGAGAGGACACTTCTCCTATACCTGTGCACAACCTATTCTGAAATAACTGTCTCCAAGTACCTTGATCACTGGATTGGCCATTTTTTGACATTCTTTCATAAAAGAATTTATGACATTTATGACATTCTTTCATAAAAAAGAAGTCACTGGGCTGTAGTTGCTATGTAAGTAGTGAGCAGGATAGGCAAGGGTCATCTCCAGGTTTTGCATGATAATAGGGAAATTACCACCCACTCCCACCAAAAGCTAACCCCACACTCCCTCTGTATGGAGGAGGCAACTATGCTTCCCGGTCCCTGTGTTTTGGAACCAATGTCTCACCTCTCCCACTCAGTGTCTCTTCCCTCCTTCTGCCCTGGGAGCTTCCTAGGAAAGCATCATTTTCCCACTAAAGTAATAATCAACCGTCACCAGTCTCCCTGTTATAAACAAATAAAGAAGAAACACAGACAAGGGAGCAAAAGTGAAATAAGATGTTAAAGAATACAGTTCTCGCCAAGAGGCCAATGGACTCCCCAGATCCTCCCAGACAGCCCTTGGCTATTGTTTGAATAATGGTGTCCCCTCCAAAATTTATGCTGAAAATCCCCAACACAACAGTACATTAAGTCATGAGGGTGGAGTGTCCTTGTAACAGGGCTTGCGGGGGGTGCTCCCTGGCCCTTCCGTCCCTTCCACTGTGTGAGGCCACAGCTTCCCCTCCCTCCAGAGGACACAGAAACAAGGCACCACCTGGGAAGCAGAGAGCAGCACTCATGAGACAACAGTCCTGCCAGAGCCTTGATCTTGGACTTTCCAGCCTCCAAAACCATGAGAAATA